ATATTACTTCGTTTTGAATCTGTGGTGATGTATACTGGGCATTTTGGGGTATAAATTTCATAATTTTATTTAATTCAGGGTCTTTTTGGATGGTGTAGGAAAACATTGCTATAAATAGCCCAGAAGAATAAATTATGTTTTCATCTTTTGCAGCATCCGTAATATTTGTTGAATCAGTCCCACGGAAAGTTAGCTCTTGTATGCTAAGAAATAGCATCAAATCAAATATTGATTTAATATAATATTGATTACGATTAATTTGATCACCTGTTTATATTTTGATTTTTATCATGCCATATTGTAATTGAATTTAAATGAGCTTTTGAGCTCTCGTGTTTTAGCAGTCCCTTCTTGTTATCTAACGCATTTTTCCAATTTCTGAATCCCGTTTGTCCAAATTCATCACTTGGATTACACAAGTATTTCCTTCATGGAAAACAAAAGGCAGCGTTAGCTTCTACACTATACTCCAACCAGTCTCGGCCTTATACCATGATTTTTGAAATGATCTTTGCCTTCCATGGATATCTTTTTTCGCGTAATTGTTTAATTTAATTTGAGTTATTCTGGCCAAGGTCACCTGGGATTTGAATTGAACCATTAGAGGACTTTTTTGACACTAAAAATATTATAATTAATAAATTGTAATGAGCGAAAGAGTCATAAATAATAATGGTCATCAGGATGGGCGAAGGAAGGGCATGCTGAAAATGAACAAACACAAAATTTATCTTGTATTTAAGATACAAGTATTTGCTATACTGTAGTGCCCAACCCTGATGAAAATTATCAGTAAAGTTGATCAGTAAAATTATAGATATTCAGTATTAAAAACTAGAAAAAGGTCATAAACATTATATCTTTAAAGATTAACAAAAAAATATAATATTTTTAATAAATCAATTACTAGTTGCCTCTTGACAATGAGAGACTGAGCTGCTAGATGAAGATGATTGAGTCTCTTCTTCGTCTTTATTTGTTTTAAAATCAAAATGTAATAATGAAACACCATAATCTCCTACTCCTATTGATATTGTCAAAAATATATAAATTGAAAAATTTGGGTTAAATTTTAAACTATTTACCATCTTCCTCCTGAGTGTAGTGAGGATCATTTTCTAGATTATTAGCTTCATTCATATCTTGAAATATGAGTGAATATATTTATTTTAATAATTAAAATTATTATACAAAAATGATAATATTAATAATAAATGTCTGTCTCTTATCTTATATAAAATAAATATATATGAAATAATAATATATAGGTATTGCCCTATATCAATATCATATAAGTCATGAAATAATATAAATTTACACTAACTATGAGAAGAATCAGTTTCTGAAATTTCTGATGTAGTATTACTAGTAGTTTGTAGAGGTGATGTTGCTTGACATTTTTTTAACTTTAACTTAAAATAAGAGTTAATAGCTGATTGTTTCTTCATAATTTTAAAATAAACGCTGTCAAATAAAATAACTGGTTATATATTATAATATAAATGTGATACCTATAGAGTAGGCCTATTCAAAAACGAATTCGAATCGAATAATTTACTATTTAAATTCGTACGAATAATAAAATCTACTATTTGTATTCGATTCGAATATTTCGAATATTTCAAATAATTCGAATTAATTTTTTTAATAAAATAAATAAAAGAAATATTATGATTTATTAATAATTTTAATAAATTATCCTTAAAATTAATTTTTTTTGAAGAATTTGGTGTAGACTTTAAAAAAATGTCAATTTTATTATTTTTTTTACTAAGGTGTGAATGAAACCTATTATAATGATTAATAAGAGATGTTGTTTTGCCTTTACATTTTATAATACTCTTGCAATAATTGCAAGCAGCCTTTTCACTATCTTTAAGGATTTGATATTGATCCCATATTTTTGTGAGGAAATTTTCTCATCTTCAACATCAAGCATAATTTCATCAGAAGCAATCTCCTCTAACATAATTAGGCTAGCTAACAATAATTATTGTAGAAATGTAATATATTTTTATGTACCTCTGGTTTGTGTCATTTTTAATATAATTTATTATGAGATTCAAAAAATAAACTTTTCGTGAGATTCAAAAAATGTGGCAAATAAAAATTTAAATTTTCACTTCAGAAATTTTTAAATTTCTGCTAGAATTTTTATAAACACAAACACATCACCTGTCCGATTGGCAGGTCAACAAATAGAAATGACAAATGTTAGATTTATTAAACAATTTATTAAATATTACGAATAATTCGTTTTATTCGAATCGAATAAATGATTATTCGTATTCAGATAAAACAAATAATTTTTTATTATTCGTAATTATTCGATTAGATTCGAATTATTCGAATCGAATCTAATATTCGAATTATTTTTGAATAGGCCTACTATAGAGTATGACACAACAAAAAAAAAGAAAAAAAAATGAATAAATGATAATTTAATATTGGGTAAAAATAAAAATAAAACAGGATAGAAAAAATTTTACAAACTAGACATGTTTGTAGAATAAATATTCAAAATTTATTTTAATATAAAAATAATCAATTCTAAATAGACATGTTTTTTGAATATTTTTTAATAAATATTCATTTTATTATGAAAATCATTTTCTTATATACATATTTGTATCTTGGATATCATTTAATATAAATAAAACCTTTTTGATGAAAAAAATATAATTTTGTTTTGTGTACTTTCTAAAAAAAATGAAAATCAAAGGAAAGGATTGAGTGGCACTCCATTACTTGGAGCTGGAGCTAGCTCCTTTGAGAAGGTAGGAGTGGGAGTTGGCTATTTTTAAAAAGGAGCCTTAACAACTCTGGTAATTATAATTTATTTTTGGCTGCTTATTTGAAAAAAGGAAATTATTTTTAAAAATAAAAAGAAACAATGCTTGAAAAAATAAATAAATAATAAGATAGCAAATAATAAATAAATATACGGTAAAAATTGTTATTATTATACAGTATTTAATTTAAAAAAATATAGTAAATAAATATATTCTAAAGATAGGAAACGACAACGAGAAATATATATTTATATTATACATTAATAATGTATTTTTTTAGTTAAAATTTTAAAAACACATTATTCAAAAAATATTTTTGTTTAAATAAAAATGAAAGCCGTACAGTTGCAATTTGCGTGCACAATCCCCACTAACGCAGGAAGCTAAATTTTATGGATACTCCATCTAGCCAGGAAAGTGTTGAACGTTATTTTTCGACACTTTATACTAACACTTTTTGTTTAAACTGAACTTTGAATATTAGGCTAACCATTTTTCTCATAGACGGTATTAAGGTCTAAACATCTATTATCGGAATCTGAGGCTTAGTTATTAGTTTTGGCTAAATTATTGACTTGACCGTTTTTAAAATTAGGCTCAAAACGAGCTATTTTCCAATATTCGCTATATTATAATTAAATATATATATAAATTATTAAAATTTATAATTAATTCTAAAATCTTAATCTTTTAATTTAATTTTTAAATTAATATTTATATTTATATTTCATTGTAAGTTATGCAGGTAGGTCTTATCATCAAATACAACTAGTAACTTCAATGGCAAAATATTTAAATTATAATATTAATATGTAGTCCAATCCTTAATTTTTAAATAAATGTGAATTAAAACTGTATGTATAATAGTTTTTGAGCTATATGAGTATGTGATAGTTGATTTTCTGGCCCAGTCTCTAAAAATTTTATTATATTAAATTAAATAAGAAAGTTTATTTATTCGGATTATACTTTCTGATCAACGCTCTAAAGTTGGGGATGACAGTTTATATTATTAAGATACAATAAAAAAAAATATATATATTAAAAATTTTAATCATATTTATTTTATTGTGAAAATAGAGATATTTAAAAATTTTTTTTGAAGTATTGTAAAAAGTGGTTAATAGGACGCTACTTTATTGAAAAAATAGCAGAAACCCTTATAAAAACACGCTTTGAAATACTAATTTTAAATAAAATCAGTTTTCCAAAAATAAATAAGTATTTATATGAGATAGTTTGCTACAATGAATCTTTTTCTAGGGTTCTTCTACACTTAAATATTAATATAACATGTTTTACAAATAAGATTTTTACTATTTGATTTAATATTTAAAAATAATTATGACTTTTGCCACTCTTCTATGGCACATTTTTATTGAAATTTTAATTAACTAATTTATAATTTAACCATTTTCTTCAAAATATTCCAAAAAAATTACCAACATGGCTATTATAATTTTTTCATGGTTTTTCATCACTGAAGTTTATATTTTTACCCCAAATAATCATAAACCTTTATAAATTAAAAAATTTAGCCCATATATTTTTACTTTAAAATTTTATTGCAGAATTAACTTTATTATGAAGAATATACAATAAAATAAATTACTATCATAAGTTTCATTTGAAAGGTATTTTTATGGTATAAATTAAGTTAAAATTTTTTTATTTTGGAAATGAAGACTGGGAAATTTTTTATAATATTTTTTATTTCGTGGGAATCATATTTTATTTTTAAAAAATTTGGTAGTGACGGTCTTGTTAGTTATCTATATTGGCATAAAAGTTTAATGGTTTAATTGTTAATTAATTTCCAAAAAATTAAAGTTCCATTATTTACAGTCTTTTCATTTAGATTAATATTTTTCGAAATCGTTTTGAACGAATTCAAGGGATTTATAAGGGTTCGGTTAGTTTGACATAAGGTTTAGGAAATTATAGCGCATTATTCCTGTTTCACGATTCAATTCCTTCTGGGTCTCTGAATATGATTGACGGTTAAAGAGGAAGTGTATTTTATTTTTTATGTATTTAATATTAACATAATGAATTAAACGTACAATTATAAATTAATGGAGAAATAAAAGGCACACAGCAAAATGAAAGCGATTTCGAACGACTCTTTCTAACAAATATAATTGGTAGTGATAACGATGTTAAAAATAATCAAAGTTATGAATCGAATTATAATATAGATGCCAATACCCTAAATTCATTCAATATTTTAGACCCCGTATTATCATTTGAAGATATGTTTTCTCGAATTGACTCATTAAAAAGTAAATTTATTTCTATATTCCCTATTTTTTATCATATATGATGTTAGAACGAACAATGGAGATGCCAAATGACGAGAGAAAAAATTTCGCCGAAAAAGTATTTATTTATCCTTTAGTTTGAATATAACTTGATGCCATGATATTAAGATATCGTATAAAAACAAATGAAGCTTAAGATGTCATTTGAGTTTGAAATTAGCAATTTTTATTATAGTAAATTTTTTTATAATTTTACTAAAGTAAATAATTTTTTATGGGGTAGAGGGGGGGGCACCATGAATTGTTAATATTTTATTTTGTTAGAGTACATTTAAATTTAGGAATTAAGTTTCTTTTTAAATAATTTAATTCAAATAGCAATTGAGCATATAGACATTGCTTGTGAATTTTAATCTATTATCATTATCGGGATGCTATTTTTTTATTTTATTAATTGATTATCTTATTTTATTTTTCACTTACCATTTTTATATTCTTATATTAATTAGGTGATTCATTTATATTTTTTATATTTTGTTGCTAAAAAATTAGACCCCTAATTTTACCTTTCATTTTATATTATATATTTTTTTTCCTCTTTTAAAACTTTTTTATTTTAAACGCCAAAAATACAAGTATTATATATATCAATTTAAAAAATACAAAAAACATACATGTTTTTAAATAAACACAATAAAAGAATGTCTTCATCGTTTATTTAAAATGGCAACTAAAATTTTACGATAAAATAAAAAAGAGAAAAAAAAAAAAATAACTACTAACAGATGTATGTCCATGTAAATTAATGATTTTTCTTAAGTAAATAGAAAAAATTAAAAACATGACGTGCTCCCCTACCCCCCCCCCCCCCCCAAATACAAATCGCACTGGGACATCCACAAGAGAGATATGATCCTTGTTTTTAAGACACCGTGACTTCAATATCAGTTTAACAGGTAGTATCAAGTATGCAATTATTGTCCAGATTTCAACTCCAATAGCATCTTGGGCATTCATAATTGGATATCATTATTTTAGCATCATTTGATTATTCAATATTAGCCTACTAACCTTTGATCCATATGTATTAAATCCCGCGTTTAAAACCTCATCATTTTCCTCCAATGAACCGTCTCATTTTACCCCATATGCATAATGAATGTATCTATTTCGCATATAACTCAGGGTTGCCATATCTCCCCCCCCCCCCCATCAGCGGGTGATTCCCGCAATTTTTTGGTTTACACGCAGACATCTCTTTTCCGCAAACCCGCAAAAATCTATCGCAATTTTTTTTATAGTATTTTAACGTATTTAATATATAAATAATAATTTTGAGAAACATTAATTGATTATTTTTATATTTTAGTTTGTAAATTTCTTTCTATCCTGTTTTATTTTTATCCAATAATAAATCTTTCATTCATATAAGTCAGTGCAGGGGAGTATATCTACATCGATTCGATTGCAATACAAAAATATTCTCAAAAATAATAAATAATACAGATGCAACTACATTTGCGGAAATCGTATACATCTATCATGTAGTTCAACATGCACAGAGCTATATCATCATAATGTGGGTCGAATCTTTTTCTCATGATTTTTAACGACTCCAATATAAGTGCAAACCTTACTTGTGACAGAACAAAAATGAGCAAGGCTATCACAAGTGTTTTGGTACCTGAATCCTAGAGGTCAATTCTAGACGATTTGAAAGATGGGCATTTATATGCAATTCTAACAGATGCATCTAATAAGGGAAATATTAAAACATTTCCCCCTTCCTATTTTAACAGGAATAAGAATATTTCAATAAAACTGTTAAAAAATTTTCCTCTGGTAGTGAAAAATCCAAAAATGTTGCTAGCCACATAATGGTAAATATAGCTGATTCAGGTTAATGATTTGCATGTCAGCTTTCTGCGCTGATAATGCCTCTGTAAATTTTGGCAAAAACCAAAGTTACCGAATTGAGGCATCATTATAATAAATTAATACCAATTGGCTGTATATTCTACATAATTCTTGCAAGAAGGTAATGAATGTACTATCTGTGGATGTCGAAATAATTGTGATGAAATGTTTTAACGAATTTAGTTCATCAACTAAAAGAGTTAATGAATTAAAAGAGTTGGTGAAGTGGTCTGACTTGGAATGGTGTGAGTTGTTGCGATATATACCTATCAGGTGGTTGTCATTAATACTTGCCATCGATAGAATTTTAAAATTTTACAAACTTAAAAAAACTTCTTAAATATAGATTTAAAAGCTGTCCTAAAATTTAAAAAAAAAATTTCGAGTATGAAATGGCAGAAGCATATTTGGGATTCGTTTCACATGTAGGAAATCTACTTCATGCAGTTAATATTCAGTTGCAATCAGAATATTCTTTATTAAAAAAAATCACAAAATCATGCTACAGCTCTGTTCATCTCTACAGTTAAAGATTGATAATAAATTTTATGGCGCTATTGCTAAAAATATTATATTAAAATGTTCAAATAATACTATAATTAATACATTTTTAAATGAAGCAGATATTTTTATTAAGACAATTTTAGAATATTTACAATCAAAATTTTATTTTAATAACTCTATTTACAAATGTATAAATATTATGACCTTGGAACAGAAACCAGATGGTTTTTATAATTTAATATATATATTAAAAATACCGAAAAATATTGATGTCTTGTTTGAGAAGATTGTAATTCTCTCCATTATTTATGATTCGCCAAAATACTTAAAGTTAGATGGTTTAAAAGCAGAGGAGAAATGGGTAGAATTTTTTCGTAATAACGATAAATCCCCATGCTTGGAAAAAATATGCGAGTGTGTCTTCTCCTTACCTCATTCTAATGCCTCATCCGAGCTCATTTTTAGCCTGATGAGGACTGCCTGGATAAAGGAGAGAAATCGGATTGCTTTAACAACATTAGAGGCCGAGCTAATGGTTAAACAAATATATAATATGTCATGCCAGGAATTTTATAAATATCTCAATAACGACGGTAAATATTTAGTTCTATTATTTAAATCTCAAATAAAATATAATTAAGTTTTAGCAATGGCGCTATAAAATTTATTGTCAATTATTAATTGTTCCCCTTTATTTTTGAAGATAGGAACTAGATAGCTCTACCTCCATTTTTGGGGAACCTTTTTATTTCCAAGTATTTTATTGTATAGATTTGTGAGTAAATATATTCCATCATATCCTAGTGCTTTAAGGCTTTCTATTGAAATATCATATGGACCCCTAGCTTTGTTGTTTTTCATATGCTTGAGGCATGTGATTATTTTTTGTTCTGTTATTGGCAATGACATTAATACTATAGATTGTCGATCTTAATGCCAAAATCAAATTTGAAGTGGCAAAAATTAAATTGAGTAGCAGCCATTTTGTGTTTGGAGTTTATACGTAAGAAACATATGATAATTTCGTAAATTTCAGGTTTTTTTTTATTATATATTATATTTATAATCTTATTTTTTTACTAAATGAATAAAAAACATTTTTAGAGCATTTATGGATATACTGTTTTGATTATTGCCTAATGTAATCAAAAATTAAAATTAGATTTTAGGCAAAAAATAAATCAAGTATTATATAAATATATTATTTAACTTAAATATTTATAGGTCAAGGAAAAATTATGGTGATTATTTGTAAGAAAAAACTACACTTTATACCATATACTTTTAGTTATAATAATACATTTTTTATTAGAAATAAATATAACATATATATATTATTTGTATTTATTATTGTAAAAATTTATAAGATTATTTTATTTTTATACATATTCATTATTGATTTTTGTACTTTAGTGAATTAAATTTAAATAAATATATTTAGAAATGGATAGTTATAATTATTAAGGAATTACATAATTCAAAGCAAAAATAAAATAAAATATAAAAAGACTTATAAATTATATAATATAACCTCTTTTTATTTGCTAAAAAAATAAATACAAAATAAATTATATCAAATTTTTTTTTTATATAATTCAAAATATTTATTAAAATCATATATATTCAATTTTGTCTTTGGAGTAATTTCTAAAATTCCAAATCACATGTTAAATATTTTCATAGCAAATCTGACATAATAATTTTTACAATAAAAAATAGGTTATTAATATAAGCTGCATCTATAGATTTAATTCTGAATATTTAATTTGAGATATCACACTTATGAAAGGAAAATTTGCTTCCTGAATAATATTTTTGGTTACAGCCATATGCACTACAATATATTATCATTTTCTTAAAATATAAAAAATATATTAAATTTTATAATAAATTTCAAATCATAATATATCTTTCCTCACTTTGATTTTTTTTATTGAATATACAAATATAAAATTAATTTTTATAAAAAATATTCATTCTAACTTGATATGATATATATTTGAAAAATCTTAAAGATATTCATTAGGTATTAAAGAAAACAATAAATCCTAACTTCTCTAGAAATGACAAAATTTTAAACTATATTCTTATTATACAGATTTTATTTTATATTGATTAGTCTATATAAAATATTAAAGATATTCATTAAGTAATAAACTGCAAATGTTTATAAAATGTTTTTTATTCATCTAGTAAAAAAATAAGATTTTAAATATAATATATAATAAAAATAAACCTGAAATTTATGAAATTATAATATGTTTCTTACATAAAAGATCCAAACACAAAATGGCCGCTACTCAATTCAATTTTTGCCACTTCAAATGCATTAATCGGCAGTCTATAGTATTAATGTCATTGGTTATTGGTTGTACAAGGTTTTGACATGGGGAGTGTTCATCTAAATGTACTATGTGGGGATTAAAGTTGAGAAGCTCCTGAAAATATTCTTTCCATCTATTCATTATATCTTTTTCCTTTATTAATTTCCCATCTTTATTTTTGATTACTTTCGGAGCTCCGTTTATATCCCTAGAGTTCTTTTCTCGCCGTTTGACTAATCTGTATATTTTATTTTGCCCTTCTTTGGTATGTAGTTCTTCATACATGTCATCGTATGCCATATCTTTGGCCCTAGCCACCGCCTTTGTAGCTATTCTCTTGGATTTTTTTGTAATTTGTCTTGTCATCTGGGTT